TCCCCTTTTAAACCTGTCTATGGCCATCACTACACCCTCCCAGATTAGAGTCCGCGCTCCTAACCACTACACCAAACTGGCTACAATTCTACAAGACCCCTGGCCTTGAATGTGGTGTCTTGAACTACCCAACCATCTTGACATGGGAGCAAACGGCCCCAGGAGTCACCCGCCTGTAACCAAAGCTGGAACTCCCAGACTCACCGGGTTGGCCTGAGGGTACTGTCCGGGCTTCACCTGCCTCCACTGGATATCCCAAGCGCTGTCGGGGGTGTTGTCTTCTGGGTCTGTTGAAAAGGGGCACCCCAGTTTGACGGACTCCCCCTTGGGCAGGTAGATGATCTTCTGTCCATCATCAGTGATCCTCACGGCAGTACTGAAAGCTAAAACGGGATCCGCATACAATCAAAAAGCCGGCTTCTCCGAGGGAAAGAAGTCCCCCCAACTGCGATGCATTTAGCAGTTATTATTGACACTCCCAGTGGGATAACATCTTTGCCCAATCCGTTTCCACCCCTGGATTAAGAACCTAAGAAGAGCCCTGCCGGATAAGAGCAGTGGTCCATCCGGTCCAGCATCCTGTATCACTAAGGCAACCGGGAGACCTCCTGCCCCCACCCCCTGCCAGTGGTAGGGTTGCCAGGTCCAGGTTGGGAAATACCTGGAGACAATGTTCCCTCTAAGCTGTGGAGTCTTGTGAGCAAAAATTCTAGTTTGTGAGCGACTGGGCATTAAAGTCGTGAGGGAGCGATTTGGCTGCTGCATAAATTAGCTTGTTCTGGAGCCCTCCTTCCTGAGCGAAGACAAAAATGTGTGAGCTGGAGGCTAAAAAACTGTGAGCTAGCTCACACTAACTCAGCTTAGAGGGAACACTGCCTGGAGATTTGGGGGGTGGAGCCTGAGGAGGGTAGGGCTTGGGGGAAGGGAGGGACTTCAATGAGTTATAATGCTACAGAGTCCGCCTTCCAAAGCACCAATTTTCTCCAGAGGGATTTATCTCTATTGTCTGGAGAGCAGTCGTAATAGCAGGAGATCTCCAGCCAACACCTGGAAATTGGCAACCCTACCCTGTTCCCTGCCATGGCTTGACAGAGCAGCAAGAGGAAGGGGGGGGTATTCAGCATTCTGCCAATGCCATGATGTAACTTCCGGTGCAAACCAGAAGTGACATCATCGCATTGACACAATGCTCTCGGAGTCACCCAGAGGTTGGGATGACTCCTAGAGTGTCACACTGATGTGATGATGTCACTTCCGTTTTGAAGGGGGGGTTGCCATCAATTCAAGCTGATGTCTGGGGACCCCTAGTGGGGCTTGAACGCAAGGGACGTTCAGAGCAGTGTTCCCTCTAAGCTGAGTTAGTGTGAGCTAGCTCAAAGTTTTTTAGCCTCTGGCTCGCACATTTTTTGTCTTAGCTCAGGAAGGATGGCTCCAAAGCAAACTAATGTATGCAGTAGCCGAATCGCTCACTCACAACTTTAATGCCAGTAGCTCACAAAGTAGAATTTTTGCTCACAAGACTCCACAGTGCATTGGTTCAGAGGTGGCTTGATATTACCTGCCTCTGCATCCCGGCCCTGGTATTCCTTGGAGGTCTCCCATCCAAGTACTTGCCAGGGTCGGCCCTGCTTAGCTTCCGAGAACTGACAAGATCAGGCTTGCCTGGGCTATCCAGATCAGGGCTGATGTCACTTCTGGTTTGTGCAGGAACTGATGTCATGGCATTGGCATAACAGCGATCATGTAGATCCCCCACCTCCTGCAATTTCTCGCTGGTTGCCAATGCCGTGCTGGCAACCCGATGCATCACACCACGGCTAAGTCATTGCCCCAGAGGGCCAACAAACATGGCAGAGAGTCCAAGAGCCATTTGGTCCCATGCTGCCTCCCCGCACTGCGGTTTGCTGCCTCTGTCTATGGAGGTTCCCTCTAGGCGTCACTGCTAGTAGCCACTGATGGACGCTTCCTCCATGAATCTTATTCCTCCTCAAAGCCATCAATGCTCGCGGCCGTCCCTACGTCCCCTGGCAGTGAATTCCACAGTTTCATTTACCCGGTTGAATGAAGAAGCATTTCCTTTTATCTGATTTTATTTGCATAGCTGTGATCGACGCCGAACACGTGAGCGGCCATCCAAACACACCCGGCTGGCAAGTCTCATTTGCTAACGAGCTTTTAATGATTTGTTCGCAGTTTAAAACGAGAGGCGCTTAGAATACATTTCCATCTGCTTCGTTAGCGGCGATAAGCTGGTCGCCCTTGGCGGGCGCATGAGCAGAACTGGCTGGATCGTTGGAGTTCATGGGAATTGTAGTTTTCTAAGCCTTCCCGTGCAGTTTGGGAGGGGGGAACCACCCATACTTCAGCCAGAATTTATGCAAGGGAAGACCGGGAGAGACTGGGGCTCGTCCTCTCTGCAAAGAGGCACCCCCCCACACCGAGTTAATAATCCCTCCCCTTTGGAAAGACAAGGTTTGTGGCGTACAGTCGCCAACTCCAGCTTGGAAAAATCCCCGGAGAATTGGGAGGCAGAGCCTGGGGAAGGCGGAGTTTGGAGAGGAGAGGGAGTCCAGCGGGGATGTCATGCAAAGGAATCCAGCCTCCAGTAGGGTTGCGAGCCTCCAGGTGGGGCCTGGAGATCTCCCGCTTTTACAACTGGTCCACAGCTGACAGAGATCGGCTCCCCTGGAGAAAAGGACTGCTTTGAAAGGTGGACTGTCTGGCATTGTTCCATGCTGTGGACCCTCCCCTCCCCCAAACCCACCCTCTCCCGGATCCACCCCCAACATCTCCAGGTATTTTCCACACCAGATCAGGCAACCCGACCCTCAGAGCTGTCATTTCCTTCAAGGGAACCGATCTCTGTAGTCTAGAGATCAGTTGTAAGTCCAGGAGACCTCCAGGTCCCATCTGGAGGCTGGCAACCCAGTGGAGAGGCCGTGCCATGCACGTGTTTTTAATTCATGCAAAGGGCCAACTGGTTTTGGACTGTCTGAAAGGGATCATCACAAAAAACATGCACGCTTTTGGAACACATGGGTCTAGGGTTGCCGGCCTCCAGGTGGGACCTGGGGAACCCCCAGAATTACAGCTCATTTCCAGACTACAAAGATCAGTTCCCCTGGAGAAAATGGCTGGACCCCACTAAGGTCCCTGTCCAACCCCAGGCTCCACCCCCAAATCTCCAGGAGTTTCCCAACTTGGATCTAGTAAACCGGCTCCCCCATCTCCCACAGGTAGCCAGGGGGAACCTTATAAAGCAGGGAGGGGAAGAGAATGCACAGTAGTCTTAAAATCAGTAAAGATGGAATTGAATGCAGGGGGAGAATCATGTGCCCATTTGAGACAGCGGAAGAGAGGAGGGGGCCTGGCGTGATGTGGTCCATTGGGGTTGCAAAGAGTCGGACTCGACTGTGCGACTGAACAACAACAACAACAGCATCGTGGCTAAGGGGTGTGTAATCTTTGCTTTAGCCATGCACAGTCCCAGTGTTGAGCAGTATATGGTCACATCACATGAACACATGAAGCTGCCTTATACTGAATCAGACCTTTGGTCCATCAAAGGCAGTATTGTCTTCTCAGACTGACAGCCGCTCTCCAGGGTCTCAGGCAGAGAGGTCTCTGTCCCATCACCTCCTGCCTGGTCCTTCCAACTGGAGATGGTGGGGACTGAACCCAGGGCCGGCTCACTCACTAGGCGAACTAGGCGATCGCCTAGAGCGGGACGGCCCTTAGGGGCGCCAAACTGAACCCGGCCCCGTACTCTGGAAGTTTCTTGATTATTTGTGTTTTTCATTCTTCCTAAAATGCATTTATTTTTGAAAATTGGTGGGGGGGGGGGGGAGCGCCAGAAGGAATTTTCGCCTAGGGTGCAAAATAAGCTGGGGCCGGCCCTGACGGAACCTGAGACTAGGATGCTGGCCTCTAGGTGGGAACTGGGGATCCTCTGGAATCACAGCTCATCTCCAGACTACAGAGATCAGTTCCCCTGGAGAAAATGGGCTGCTTTGGAGGGTGGAATCTATGGCACTGTGCCCCACCGAGGTCCACATGCTCCCCCAAAATCCGGACGTTTCCCAGCCTGGATCTGGCTATCCTACCCCCCATCCCCTGCCACTATCCAGCAGGGACCCGGCAACCCTAACTGGAGACCTTCTGCATGCAAAGCAGATGTTCTACCGCTGAGAAGAAGAAGAAGAGATTGGATTTATACCCCGCCCTTCACTTGGAGTCTCAGAGCTATTTGGATTAGGTGTGATATGCAGAGGGGTGATCCCAGCCTGCAAGCTTTCCGATTCATTTTACCCTTTTTCTTTTCTGGATCTCACACTTCTCAGAGAGAATTTACCAGTAATCAGAACATAGTAATCAGAACATGGCTTCTTTTGTGTGCTGAAATGATTGGACTACAAGAGCAGAAGGTACCATCATCTATTCCTCTAAATCATTTCAACAAAAGTGGTGTACCTTTTCACATGAAGCTGCCTTATACAGACTCAGTTTCTTGGTCCATCAAGGTCAGTATTATCGACTCAGACTGGAAGTGGCCCTCCAGGGTTCCAGACAGAGGTCTTTCACATCAGGTACTGTCTGGTCCTTTTAACTGGAGATGCCAGGGATTGAACCTGGGGCCTTCTGCATGCCAGGCGGATGCACTACCACTGAGCTACAGCCACTCCCCACCTTTCACAAACACCCACGATGCAGAAGCAGGCAACGGCAAAGCACTTCCGCTCATCCTCTTGCCTTGAAAACCCTGCAGCTTCATGACACTTTCTACTGCCACCAGGAAAGACTGGACAATAGCGTTCGTTTTCACGCAATAGGAGATTATCCGTGGATTCGTGGTGCTGAATGACCTCTGCTTTATGTGGGATTTTCTTCCTTTATTTGCTGGTTCCAGCATGTCTTTGGGGGGGGAAAGTGTTTCCCCTTTCACATTGATTTAGCAGAAACATTTCTGCCCTGGCATTTTTGACTGTAGAAAAAGATGTATCAATCGGCGTCGATAGCCAGCAAAATAAATATAGAACAAGCCCTATAAATGCAGTGAATCAGCAAATCCAGGCAAGCGTGGACATATCTGCCTCGCTGGTCTCCGCGTCGCTGCTCTCAACATTCACCGTAATTAATTCCAGCTGCCAATTAGCATCTTTCATTCCTTTCCAACTGCTAATACGGGACTGAGCAGACCAGTAATTTGCTAACTTCATTATGTCCGTTCAAAATAATATATTTCCCCCCCCCTCGTGGACATCCTGACTCAAATAGCGATGCCGACATTATGCAAAACGATTCCGGGTTTCGCAATAAATGCTAATCTTGTTTGGGTGTTGCCTGCCTCCGTGAAGTCGTTCCAAACAAATAAAAATAACCGTCG